TAGTAATAATGGTAACAGAAAACACATAGTAAGTGCTTGCTGTGGGCCAGGCACTGTTGTGGCTCAGCATACGTGGGACACTTGCTTCAGAGACAGCCCGTCACCCTGTGGGCACTCACCTAGTATGGTACAAGTTAACTTCCCATATGTTAACTCACTGGGTCCTCCCAGCTGTCCCATGAGGTAGGTCCATTATTATCTCCACGTTGGTTTGGGGAAGATGGGGACAGGCCTTGGCTCAAGCAAGTGTCCTAAGGATGGCCTCAGATCCTACTGACTCAGCTGCTCACTCAGCCAGCCTCATGCGCCTGGTCCCCAGACACACTCCCCTGACTTCCTGCAGGCGCAGACTGAGGGCCAAGGCGCTGGCTGGGCCACTGGCTCCAGGAAGGTCCAGTCACCCATGATGCCCAAATGCTCACTTCCACCCAGGGTGGGCTCTGGGCTCTGGCTGCCCTGGCCTGGGCCGGGTGCCCAGAACAGGCAGCCCTGGCTGGATGGCTTTCCCTGGCTCTGGCCATGGGGACAGGAGGCGGCAGCAGCCCAGCTGGGCCCTGGCCGTAATGAGACCTCATTAGCGAGATCCAGCTGCTCCAGCCCCACTTAGGAAGGCTGACTCCCCCAGCTCCCGCCTCTGACTTTTCCTAATAAGAGTGGGCCTGCTTCCAGAGGGGCAAGGAGGCTAGGGTCTTTGTTGTCCCCTGTGACTCTGGAGGAAGGTCCAGCTGAGCTGGGACTGAGAAGTGCCAGAGATGGGGGAGGGCCGCAGGGCGGCTGTGTGGGAGGCCGGGCTACAGGCCTCCCTGAGTAGGTGGGCTACAGAGGAAGTGGGGAGGAAGAGGGAGGGCAGGCCCCCTGACCTGAGAGGAAGCTGAAGAAGGCTGGGCCTTTTCCTCTGGATCTAAATATTGTCCATTTCACTGAGGAGCCGGTAGCTGCTAATCTAGGATCAGCGGAAGGTCATTGCTTAGGCTGTCCTGGCTAGAAGAGCACCTCCACTGTGCTAGGCCTTATCTAAGGAGAATGGCCACTGTGTGCCAATCCCTGAGCCGGGATAGCATTTACTGGGTGTCAAATCTTGTGCTGGAAGCACCTGCTGTGTGCGAGAACCTGCATCAGCAGAATGCCCACCATGTGCCATGTCCGATGCTGAGACAGCACTCATTGTGTGTCAGCCCCAGGTAAGGAGCCCCTATGGTGTGCTAGGTCCTGCACTAGGGGAGTACCCCAGGTATGCCGAATTCTGTGCCAGGTAAAGACCCAATGTGTGCCCAGCTCTGAGCTGGGTGAGCGCCCACTGCGTGCCTGGCAGTGTGCTAGACGAATGCCTACAGGGTGACAGGCTGTCTTCTAAGGGAGTGTCTAATGTGTGCCAAGTCTGCACTAGCTGAGCATTTGCCACATGCTAAGACTTGGGTTAGGTGAGTGCCCAGGCAGGGACAGGCCCTCTACTGAGGGAGTGTCCAAGGTGTGCCAAACCTTGTGCTTGGTGACCTCCCAGTAAGGCACCAAGCCTGCACTAGTTGAGCACTTGCTACATGCCAACACTTGGGCTGGGTGAGTCCCCACTATGTGCCAGGTCCTATGACGGATGCTATAGACAGGAGGTGCCCAAACCCTCAGGGCAAAACATATGAGAACAGGTCAGGGTGGGGCAGCCCCTGGCGGCCTGTGGTGCTTGCAAGTCCTCCTGGGATTTGGATGCCCTGGCACCCAGAGCCCTAATCCAAATGAGTCTGTTCCTGTTCATTGTGAGGCTTCCCAGTGGCAGAAACAATCAGCGTGCTCAGACATGAGAAGAGGTCAAGGAAGCCCGCCAAGGCCCAGACTGCCCAAGACTCTGCATTAGTGGGTAGTGGGACTAGGGAGGGGACTGAGGTGGCCAGCCTGGGAAATGGTGTGACACTGGGGGGTGAAGGATTAAAACTGAGCTAGTGGGGGCTCTCTTGCCTCCTGTCCTGGGCCCCCTTCCTCCAGCCCCTTGTCCTTTGAGACCTAGGTGGCCCTGCTCCACACGTGTACGAGGGCCTAGGTCTCCATGGAAGGACCACCCCACCCACCCCCTAGTGCCCCCAAGCATCCCAGCTGCTCCCAGGCTTGGAGGCACCCTGACCAGCTGGGTTCTCGCACAGCCCTGTCCTAGGAGCTGCTGAGGCGTGAGGGAGGCAGCTGAGCTGGCCTGGCAGAGACCATCTGGGCTGGGAGTGAGGGAGGGACACGTGCAGTGGGCATGTGGGCCTGGGCACGTGCTGGTAAGCTGCTTGTTACCCATGGGGCACTGGCTGTAGCATCCAGCAGAAGCTCCAAGGATAACACAGGGTGTCTGCCGACACTGAAGAGACTTAGAGGGCCAGTGTCCTCACACCCAAACCTGGGTAAAGGGGGATAGAAGTGAGGATCCCGTGGTAGGGGCCAGTGCCTGCTCCATGCATGCCAGGGTACAAACAGAGCAGCAGAAGCCACAGAGAACTGTGATGGTCCAAGTGCATGGTTACACACACGCCCCTTAACATCCTCTTTTGATCTACCAGGGTATCCAAAGAAGAAGCCTGTCAGAATGATGCTTCCTTAGTTACTGGCCATAGGAAGACACGGAAGACACAAACGTGCTGACTGGGCTGCCCGTGTTAGCAGAGATGGGGTTCGGCTGGGACCAGCTGCCCTGTGCACCTCAGAGGCTGTGTCTAGAGACAAGCACTGAACGGAGGTGGCTTCAGTCCCAAACTGGAACCCAAGAATAGAGTGGAATAGTCCAAGGTCATCAGCAGAGCTGAAAAGGAAGCAGGAATAGAATCTCCAAGCAACCACTGGGGGTGCCCATGGGACGGATGCTATGAGCCTCAAACGCAGCAACAGTGGGCAAAAGCCAAAGGGCAGAGAGCGGGGCGGAGAGCGAGCCTCAGCTATCTTTAGGCACATCCTAGTGCTGGGAACAGGAGTCCCAAGGCAGCATTCCCATCCACAGACAGGCTGGCCGGGCCGACCGGCAGAGCACAGTCCGGGAAGCTCAGTTCAGGCAGGGACTCTGGGACACTGGGACCCATGCCCTCTGTGCTGCTCACGTCTCTCCGCCTGTCCTCCTCTCAGTCCTTCCAAGTCACTCCAGAGAAAGAAGAGCAACCAGGGAGGACTCAGAGGTTTCATGGGGCTCAGAATCTCCATGGTAGGAAGGGACAGGGCCACACCCCACTTCCCATCACAAGCCCATGGCAATTCCAAGACCTCTCCAGGAAAGGTGGGGCCATGTTTGGGTTCTCAGATGGGATTCACCCCTAGCAAGTGTTCAGGTCATAAGACCTCCATCTGGGCCCATTTCTGAGCACCCAGATTTCAGGAATCTCAGGAATACTTTCAGGAGCTTGGTTCATTCAGACTGACTCCAATCAGTCAATCAGCAGGGGGCTAGACCAGAGGGATGGGGCCAGGGGTTGGATGCTGGAGGTTCAGAACAGGGCCAGATAGAAGATCCCGAGCTTGGAACAGAACCACCCGGTTCTCTCCCACAAACTGTTCTTTTTAAATTTTTAAAAATTTCTTTTCTTTCTTTTTTTTTTTTTTTTGAGACAGAGCCCTGCTCTATTGCCCAGGCTGGAGTGCAGTGGCACGATCTCGGCTCACTGTAGCTGGGATTACAGGTGCATACCACCACATCTGGCTAATTTTTGTAGTAGAGACAAGGTTTCACCATGTTGGCCAGGTTGGTCTCAAACTCCTGACCTCAGATGATCCGCCTGCCTCAGCCTCCCAAAGTGCTGGGATTACAGGCGTGAGCCACCACGCTCAGCCCAAGTTGTTCTTTTAAACCAGGTACTTTGAGTCCCAGAAATCTTTGGTGAGAGACAGGGCTTGTTTGGGGAGGGCTCAGTAAAGACCCCAGGCCAGTGAATCTTTCATTAAATAAGAAAAGCAACACAGGAGATTGATAGGATGGGAGCTGCTGAGGGAGGGACTGTCCATGGTCAGTCCCTGGTCCCCACCCCCGGCAGCCATCCAGTCTAGCCTGTCCCCAGCGAAGATCTCAAGAGAAGGAAGACAACCATTGCCTCTGGGACAGGATTTGGCATCACTTTCCTGGTTCCTGCTTCTGGTGCTGACCTGGTCCCTCCATCAGCTAGTCTTGCTCCTTTAAGAACCTCACCCAGGCCGGGCGCGGTGGCTCACGCCTGTAATCCCAGCACTTTGGGAGGCCGAGGCGTGTGGATCACCTGAGGTCAGAAGTTTGAGACCAGCCTGGCCAACATGGTGAAACATCGTCTCTACCAAAAATACAAAATGAGCCAGGCTTGGTGGCACATGCCTGTAATCCCAACTACTCGGGAGGCTGAGGCATGAGAATCGCTTGAACCCGGGAGGGGGCGGAGGTTGCAGTGAGCTGAGATCACACCACTGCACTCTAGCCCAGGCACAGAGTGAGACTTGGTCTCAAAAAAATTAAAAAAATAAAAAGAATCTCCCCCACCCCGCTGTGTCTCATGGCCTCACCACTACCTCCCCTGTGCTCTAAGGTTGAGGGCAAAGAAAAGCCAGGACATGGGGAAAGGGTGGAGAGAGATTTTCTGAGAGTCCTCAGGAGAGCACTCAAAACACAATGTTACTTTTCAGACTGAGAAGGACCCAGAGAAGTGGAGAAAAACCAGGCAGGGTCTGAGGGAGGAGCCCTTGATCAGCACAGACAGAAGCCGCCCGCACAGCCCCACGCTCCACTGTCCTCTCAGCACATGAGTGACCTCCTTCTGTCCGCAGCACCTCTGTGACAAGGATGGGGCGCACACCTCCTGCCTTCTGGCAGATCTTCGTGAGCTCTGTGGGCTTGGAGCCTGACACTCTCTGACCTGGTAGATGAGGGGTTACCTGCTCATGCTGGGGTCAGCTGGGAACTCAGGAGCCCTGGCAGTGCTGGCCTTCCTAAGCCTTCCTGTCATGGCAAGCAGCTGGCAGGAGGTCCTGGGGGCAGAGCTTGGGACTCCCCTTCCTCCCCACAGTCTGGCCTCTGTACTCACCAGCATCCCTTTGGCACCTTTTCCTACCATGGCGGCGGTGGGCTGGGGCTCTGGTGATGGGGACCACGCTCACAGGCTCTGCTTCCAGCGCCTTTCAGGCCACAGACCTCAAGAGCTGTGGAGAGAGCAGAGGGTGAGGTGAAGACTTGGCCATGTGGCCCACAGGGCTCTCCAGACAGGTAGTGCAGAGCCACCCACCACCAGCCGGCCCAGGCCCTCTGCCAAGCCATGTCCGCATGCTGCTCCTTTCTTTCTGGAAGACCCTCAGATCCAGCTCCTTCCCAGTGCCCCCAACCTTTCCCCTGGATCTCTTGATCTCCAGGCTTCGTGTCCCAATGGGCAAAGGTCTATTTTTGACTCTCCAGATGCCCAATCCTGTAAAAGATAAAAAATGAATACCGAACTGGGATGGAGTCCAATTCCTTCATGGTCTGTGTGAATGGCTTCAGCCTTTCCCGGAGGGGAATCAGCTCCAGTCAGCACACTCTCCCCATCCTCACCCCAGCCAGGCAGCCAGGACGGCCCTTCCCCATCTGGGTGGCACCCAGTGTGGGCTCCAGGGCAGCTGGGCTTGTTGTCATGTCATTCACTTGGACCGAGCTCTGGGCCAGCCACACACCCCTGTGCAGCCACGCCTCCTTGCACTCCCAGCTGTCCCCTCCACAGCAGTTCACCAGGTGAAATTCTACAAATCCTCAGCACTGCACCGGGCTAAATGTCACCTCTTCTCTGCAGCCTTTTCTGACCCACTCTCTCAAAAGAAGAAAAAAGTTGCTTCCTCTTTTCTGTTTTGTGCAAATCTCTACTGGTATTCTTATTTCATATGACACTTATTTGCTTTTAAGTTCATCAACCATGAGTCAGTGAGTTCCCCGAGGGCTTGGGACTATTTCTTTTGCCCTCTGTGCCCAGCACGTTGCACAGCACTGGGCTTGCAAGAAGTGTTAGTTAAATTGAAATGGAGGGAAATAGCGAAGGCAGGACCTCTGGAATGAGGGATCCAGGCCAGCCCAAGATCTTGTGGGAAGCATCTGAGGGGCAAGGTGGGGCTGGCAAGCTGTGGGGCAGCAGCCACGTGGAAGGAGCAGCCCTATGGCAATACTGGTGCACACAGGCTTAATGTCAGATGGGATGGAAGAAAGGTTAGTTTTTGACAGGCCTCAGGAGAAATCCATCTTCAGAGAGCCTTAAAGAGTTGTCTCATTGCATTCCAGTCTGGGTGACAGAGCGAGGTTCGGCCTCAAAAAAAAAAAAAAAAAAAAAAGAGTTATCTTGGCCGGACGTGGTGGCTCACACCTGTAATCCCAGTACTTTAGGAGGCCAAGGCAGGTGGATTACCTGAGCTCAGGAGTTCGAGACCATCCTGGCCAACGTGGCGAAACCTGGTCTCTACTAAAATTACAAAAATTAGCTGGGCGTGGTGGCGGATGCCTGTAATCCCAGCTACTCGGGAGGCTGAGGCAGGAGAATCGCTGGAACCTGGGAGGCGGAGGTTGCAGTGAGCCAAGATCCCACCACCACTGTACTCCAGCCTGGGCGACAGCGGGACTTGATCTCAGAAAAAAAAAAAAAAAAGAATTGTCTCATGGGAGGAAATCCCTCCTCAGGGCCTAGACCCAGGAAGGATTCGGCTCTGCCTCTCTCTGGAGCCTTTCCTGCCTTCCCAGGGAGTCTGTTCCCAAGGCTACTCTGGGCAACTGTGCCCTACCCACAGCCACCTGTCAAGGGCCACCTCTCACCTACAAGCCCAGGAAGTCTCTGGAAGGCTGGAGGAGAGATGAGGAGGCTGCTCTTTGCCTATGCAAATCAGCCCTTGGCTTTTTTAGGCCCTTTGCCCTGGCTACCTGGTCTCCTGCAGAGCTTCTCTTAGGGCAGGGTGGGGACAAGATGTGACCCAGGCTGGCCTGTGGCTCAACTTCTTCTCCTAAAGAGGTTCCTGCTCACGGCTTTGGTCTTCTGGGGGCAAGTAAAGAAAGACGGGTGTGTGCTCCCTCAAAATGAGATCATACCTTGTCCTCTCTCACCCCTGTGCCTCCCTCTCCAGCTGTAAACTCTAGATTTGACTCCCTTAAAGCCACCTCTCCTCATTCAAGGACTAGTAATGACAATGATGATAGTAATAACAGCAGATGGCATTAGAAAGAGCCATGTCAGCTGGGTGCAGTGGCTCATGCCTGTAATCCCAGCACTTTGGGAGGCCGAGATGGGCGGATCACCTGAGGTCAGGAGTTCGAGACCAGCCTGACCAATATAGTGAACTCTCATCTCTACTAAAAGTACAAAAATTAACCAGGTGTGGTGGTATGCGCCTGTAGTCCCAGCTACTCGGGAGTCTGAGACAGGAGAATTCGCTTGAATCCGGGAGTCAGAGATTGCAGTGAGCTGAGATCACACCATTGCTCTCCAGCCTGGGTGACAGAGTGGGACTTTGTCTTAAAAAAACAAAAAACAAAAAAGCCACCTCACAGGTTGGAAATTATTAAGCCCGCTGGTCAGGTAAGTGAACTGAGGACATTGTGTCTCCAAACTTAGGCTACAGAGGGCCCTCACCCAGGTTATCCTGGAATTCCTCCCAGTTTACCATCAGAGAGACGGACTCGGAGAGGTCAAATGCCTTTCTTGTATGTAAGTGCTCGAGTGAGGACTTGAACTAGGTTTTCAGACCTGACATCTCTGACTCTGACGTCTCTGCAAATGCAGTCCCTGCCCTCAGGTAGTTCGTGGATTGGAGGGAAAAGACTGCTTCATGGCGGCTTCCAGGAGAATGAGCTGGGTGTAAAGCTTTGCTGCTTCTCCTGACTTTGACATTCCTGTTACGTGGCCCCATCCGTCCATTCAGAAAACACCAAATGATTGCCCATGGCATCCAGCCCCTTCTACGTGTGGAAGATCCACAACACCAGGCCCCACACATGCCCCTGAAGCATTTGTGGGCCACCGCTGACAGGCAGTAGCAGGTCACAGAGGCAGTTTAGCACAAGATAAAGAGCTCGGGCTCTGGGATCTGGTAGGCCTGGGCTGGATTTCTGGCTCAGCTACTCACTAGGTATATGATTTCAAGTAAGTTACTCAACCTCTTTGAGCCTTAGTTTTCTCAGTCTGGAAGATGGGGCTAATAGTCATTTCCTCATAAGTTCTGAAGTTTCTGCCTAATTTTTGTCCTTACCACAAGCCCTCCACATGTTCCTCCCCTCCAATCTGTTAATCCTCCTGAAGCCCTATCTCTCTGATTCTCTCCGATAGTTTTCCACAGCCAACAGGATATGGCCTAAACTGCTTAGCAGGCATTTATGGCTGACCACAGCTAGACTCATTTATTCCACAATATTGATTGCAGGTCTGCTCTGGGCCAGAACTGTGCTAGGCACCAAGAACTCAAAGGTATCTGTACTCCTGCAGCTTACAGACTAAGGGGAAAGAGTTAAACTGATGACTAAAATTTAAAGAATTACAAACTGAGACCAGGAGCGGTGGCCCATGCCTGTAATCCCAGCGCTTTGGGAGGTCAAGGCAGGTGGATCACCTGAGGTCAGGAGTTCGAGACCAGCCTGGCTAACATGGTGAAGGCCCATCTCTATCACAAATACAAAATCAGCTGGGCAATGTGGTGGGCGCCTGCAATCCCAGCTACTTGGGAGGTTGAGGCAAAAGAATCACTTGAACCCAGGAGGCAGAGGTTGCAGTGAGCCGAAGTTGCGCCATTGCACTCCAGCCTGGGCAAAAAGAGGGAACCTCTGTCTCAAAAAATAAAAAAATAAAGAATTGCATACTGAGATAAAGGATGTAAAGAGAAAGATTGTGTTATGAGACTCTACAGTCGGGGGGCCTGGCCTTGTGTAAGACTAGGGGAGGCCTTCCCTGAGGAAGTGATGTTTAAGGGTCTAAAGAAGTAAATTAGGCAAAGTGGCAATAATGAGGAAGAGAAGAGGAAGAGAGAGTCAAGCAAATGAAAAAATATGTGGAAAGGCTCTGAGGCTGGAGCTCAGATAGTCAGGGGGAAATGGTCAAAGATTAAAGTGGACAGAGAGGCCTGGCCAGGGCCTTTGGGGTCTGGATTTTGGTCTTCATCTTGAGGGCAAGGGTGGCTATTGAAAGCTTTTAAGCAAAAGATCAACTTCAAGGAGGAGCAATTGGTGGAATGTGCATCTTGAAACCATCCCCCTAGATACAGTGTGGAGAAAGGACTGGAGGGAGGCTGAAGTAGAAGAGAGGAAATCAATTAGAAATGGGCCAGGCCAGGCCAGGCCGGGTCCGGTGGCTCACGCCTGTAATCCCAGCACTTTGGGAGGCCGAGGCAGGTGGATCACCTGAGGTCAGGAGTTGGAGACCAGCCTGACCAACATGGAGAAACCCCATCTCTATAAAAATACAAAATTAGCCAGGCGTGGTGGCACATGCCTGTAATCCCAGCTACTCAGGAGGCTGAGTCAGGAGAATCGCTTGAACTCCGGAGGTGGAGGTTGCAATGAGTCGAGATGGCACCATTGCACTCTAGCCTGGGCAACAAGAGTGAAACTCCATCTAAAAAAAAAAAAAAAAAGAGAGGAAGGAAGGAAGGAAACAAGGAAGAAAGGAAAGGAAAGGAAAGGAAGAAAGGGGCCAGGTCAAAAATGAGGGGGCTCAGGTTAGGAAGGTGACAATAGGGTGAGGAGAGGTGCACAGATTTCAGATAAATATAAAAGACAACATGGGAAGACTTGGTGATGAATCGGACTGGGTAGGGGGAGGGATAAGAAGGAGTCTCTGGTTTCTGTTGGTGCAGTGGGAGGAAGCCCATCCCAGAGGACAAACGATGGTGAGGCTGCAGGTTCGGTGCGGGAACAGGAGGGCTGGGTTGGACAAGCTGGTCTGAGCTGCGTGTGAGTCACCCAAAGGCAGATGTTGAGACATCAGTCACAGAACCCTGGCCCATCTTGACAGTGTCACCGCTGAGTATCAGGGCTGTCAGGTCAATCAGTTTTAACGGTCCATCTTGGAAAAGCCCTGGAGTCCTCACTGGGGATGGAAAGGTGACAGGCTCTTTCCCTGGCTTCAAGGACCTCACAGTTTAGTAGGTAGGTAGAGGAAGAAGCATAATTTCCATTCACTGTGATGGAGGAAGTGGAGGAGTTGTGGGAGCAGGAAACAGCCCTTAGTTCTACCTGGGAGCCCAGGTCAGCAACCTGCGGCCATCTGCCGCCACGTGAGACTACCCAGCATTTGCAGAAGGCTCCTGCTTCATGCCTTTGCCCCAGCACCCGTTCCCTCTTTTTTGAGCACCCTTGTCCCGATATCCACCTGTATATATCCTACGCATCCTCAAAACCTATCCCAATGCTATTATCTTCATGAAGCCTTCCTAGGTTCTCCCCGTTGCTGTCAGCCTTTCTACTGTACCCCCACACTGTGTACGTCTCAGCACGCTTGCCACACGTAGCAACTGCGGCATGCTTCCTCGTGCCCAAGTCTGGCTCCCCACTAGATGGAGAGTTCTTCCAGGGCAGAGGTGTGCTGCTTCTGTGTTTCCAGAGCCGGGAACTGAGCGGGTACAGCCGCAGTCGCCGCATAGGCCAAGTAAAGGGGGCGTTTTCTCTGCGGTCGTTGGAAACACTTGAGCATGCTCAGTGTCGCCCATTAGTCGCTAGAACCAGTCCCCTCACCCACTACTCTCTAACCTTCTGATGCTCCCTCACTTTGGGAGTCTTTAACCTTTCAGGTTATTCTCTCCTTCCCCATTCCTCGCCCCGCAGCCTTCATTTCCCAACGGCCGCACCCTCACGCTTCTTTCAGCGGAGAAATAGACCGCGCTTTGTACAGAAGCTGTCAGCGAGCCGGGGTCCAGTCTCCTTTAAGAGTGATCCGCGAGGGGGTGTGGCTTGCCGAGAGCAGGCCCGAAAGGGGGTGCGGCTCCTTTAGGTATCTGCGGGCCCGAGGCGCGGAGGCCCCGGGCCGGCAGGCAGGGGCGCGGTCGGTCTCAGAGCAGTGGCACCGCCCGCAGCGTCCCGGTTCCTCGAAACGGGGCGCGTCCGCTTTAATCGGGAGAGAGATGTGGGGGCACGGGCGTTACATCAGCCGCCACGTGTGGGCCTCAGCTGGCGTGGAGGCGGCGGCCCCGCCCCCGGCCCCTGCGGTGGAAAAGTACCGGGGCGCCGAGGTCCCCGCCCCACGGCCCCGCCCCCGGGCCGGCTCCGGCCCCTCCCGGCCCTCCGGGCAAGCCCCACTCTCCCGCCCGGCCCCGCCGCCGGTTCGCGATCTGCAGTGGCTGCCGGGTGCGGAGCGCCGGCCGAGGGTGGGCGCCCAGGGCTGCTAGGCCCCTGCCCTCACCTGCGGCCGCCCGGCCCCGCCCTAGGCGTGCCGGTAATGAGGGTTGGGGTGGGGAGGGCACGGATTCTTTCCAGGGTAGCAGCCCCCAAAGAACTCCTCGCTCGCTCGCAGTCCCTTCCCAAAGCCGCGGCCAGAGCGCGGACAAAGAGAGGCTGAGTGCGCCAGGACTCTCGCGCGCGGCTTCCCGGGTCCCGCGGGCGCACGGACACGGGCACCGGCACCGGCACCGGGAGGGCAGATAGGGAGGCAGGCCGGCTGGAGGGACCAGATAGGCAGCCAGGCTGGCGGGCGCTGAGAGGCGCTGGAGCGAGCGGGAGCCCGCACGCTAGGCGCAGGCACGGCGGATTATCGACCCCCTCAGGCCCCCAGAGCGCAGAACCACTGGCTCCCCGGACGGACCGTGCCACGCTCTGGCTCCGGCGCTACCCGCACAGCCTGCGCCCGCCGCCCCCGATCGAACCGGCGTCTGGCGCCCCCCTCCCACCCCACGCAGGAGCTCCCCCCGCTTCCCTCTCCCTCCCGCTTCAGCTCCTTGGTGACAGCGGTGACACCCAGCCGCGCGCACCTACCCCGACCTTTGCGGCGAGACAGACATCCTGGTGCGTGCACCCACACTCTTACCCACAGATGCCCGCATACATGCGCGATCACACACACACACACACACACACACACACACACGCACACGCTGGTCCTGGGGCTCAGCCCCGCGTCGGCTCAGACCGACGGCAGGACCGACGGAGGCGCAGGCCCCAGCGTTCCCTTCCCCCAGCCCCCTTACCATGCTGCAGCCCCCTGCCCAGGCGTGCTGGGTCCGCACCGCGGTGCGCCCAGGTGGCTTTCTTAAAGTGAAAGTTGCATCAGCTTCCCGAGGCTCTGTGCCGCGCCCGCCCCGCCGCGCCGCTCGCAGCTCTTCCACAGCCTGTTGTGTTTTGGTTTCGGGGAGGCGGGGGCTAAGAGTTTGGTGAAAGTTTGAAGAGTGGAGAAGGCTTGGGAGATCTAGCCAAGTCCCTCCCCTACCCGAAGAGCTCCCCTGGCCGTCCTCCCCTCTTCATCCCATCCCCTCCCCCCGTGCAGACTTCTCAGGCTCCTCCTCCCAGGGAATAAAATTACAAGTCTCTCCAGCTTTCAAATGATTGATCCCCATGAACCCCTGGGAGTGGGCTCCACAAAGGAGCCCCCTTCTCCGCCCCTGCCTCGCTGCCCTCCAGCTGGGGCCCTTGAGCAAGCAGATGTGGTCCCCTTCGGGCTAGGGTGGAATAAAGCCAGAAGGCCTGGGGCACTTTGGGGGGCTGAGGCTGGAGTTAGCCCTCCAGGCCCCTGGCCTTCTGCGCCTGCGTTTCCCCTAGAGAGAAGTCAGAGCAAATTCCATTCCCTTTGGAGCAGAGCCGCTAGAGACTGTGGGCACTGCTGGGTAAGGCCTAGGTCCTACTCCTTGGAACTAGAGGGCTCCCTGGAGCCCTTTCTCAAATTTCCCTCCTGGACCACCGGCTTGGTCAGCTCTACTTTTGAGGTGGTGTTACAGGGGCTGCAGACACCAACCTGGGATCCCTCCTCCTTCCATGGTGAGACAGACCTGGGTTACAATCTCAGCTAAAAAAAAAGTCTTTGCCAAAAGGAGCATTGTGAGCCTCGGTTTCCTCCTCTGTGAAATGGAGAGAAGGGGCTAAGGAAATGCATGTGTGTGTATGTAAAGCCCATTGCTCCAGGCTGCCTCTGGGGACGGGTGCCTGGCATGTGGAATGAGGCTCCCACATTTGCATACCTTGTGAGAGCCACCACCTTTCAGGGAAAGTGGCCAGTTAGTACTGTCAGAGGAACTGGTTTTTGCCCCAACCTGAGTGGGGCATCTGCTCAGGGAAGGGGCCCAACCTACAGAGGCAATTTCTACTTTGGACCCTGAGTCCTCACCATTTTCTGGTCACGAAACAGTTTAATTTTTTTCCTTGGGACTGTCAGCCTCCAATACATGCCAAACTCATATGAAACCAATTGTTGAGTGAGATTGCAGTTTATTAATTTATCAGAGGCACTGAACAAGATAACAGGCATCAAGCCCAGGCATTCCCTGCAATGCAAGCTCTTTCAGGCCACACGCAGTCCATTCCACAAACCTTTCTCAGAGCCAAAGTACAAAGACAGCTCTCTGTTGTCTCCTATTCACATTGGACTCCTGATCAGATCTGGGAAGACACCTTAGTCTTATCAGCAAGATTATTTTCATTTTCACTTTGTCCCCAAACCTAGTAGATATAGTATGCTTGGGATTTTTATTCTACAAACCAAGTGCAGGTGTTTCTTGTGTGAGTTGTGTGCACACACACCTGGATCTGGGCAACCTGTTGTGTCTGTGCCCCCAGACGCCTGAGCCCCTGATTGTGTATTTGTGTAGGTACATCTGTGGAAGACTGTGTGCACTGCAGCAGGTCTGTGTAGTTGTGTGTGTGCCCAGTTCCTGGGACTGGGCAGATGGGGTCCAAGCCCTCTACATCTCTCCTGCCAGGACTTAACTTCCTCCATAAATTGTTTTTAGGATCTTCCTCCTTGCCTCCTCCCTGGGGCTCATCAAAAGGGATACCACCCCAGGGAAGGCAGATGGAGGATGTTGAAGAGGCCCCCAAGTAGAGGAAGGCGGACAAGGAAGAGTATGAAGGGGAAAAGGTCTCCCTCCTTCTCCCTTCCAGCAGTAGGCTGGGCTGGGGACAGGCCTAGAAGAGGGCACTGAGTGCTAAGAACACAGTGAAGATTCTGAGAGTTTTCATGGCTCAGGGAATCCATATGAAGGGAGGCGGGTGTGAGGTGCTGAGAGCAAGATTCCAGGATGCCTTCAGGCCTAGGGGCTTGGGGCCTGGGCAGTTAGAAGAGAGGGGGATGGGTGCTCAGGGGCCAGCCCTCTGAGGCTCCGTCAGAATGAAGAAGGCTTGGGGACTAACCTGGGGACAGGGAGGCAGCCTAGCACTTTAGCCCATGGGGTGAAGAAAAGAGAACATTTTCCTTGGAGTGTTTAGGAAGATTGGGGATGTTGGCCAGAGGGCTTTATTAAACTAACACTGGCAGAGCACAAAGTCTATTTGTATACATAGAAACAGATTCATGAATGTGTGTTTTACCCACCTTGACCCAGAAAGAGCTTCAGGAAACCGCACAGTGAGCTGTGTCCTGAGGAGACACTTGTGAGAAAGCTTCTGGTTTGAAAAGCCATCTCCTTGAGACAGGGACTAGAGAGGCTGTTTTTTCCAATCAGAATGAGGTGCAAAGGAGGCAGGTCTGGGCCCAGCCCAGGTCAGAGCTGGGATAGCCTCCGTCCCTGGCTGTGAGCCCCTGGCTCTGAGCAGCTGGCCCGCAGGGTGGGAAGGGCATGGCCAGCCTGGGCCACTGTGGGGCAAGCAGGGGGATCAGGACTGAGGACAGACTGGGGCGGGGGAGGGGATGGGGGGACTGATGGGGTCAGCCAGTTTGACTGGCCTGCTTCTTCCTGGGGCAGGGCTGCAGCGGGCTAGGGGGCCCACTCACTGCAGGCTGAGATGTGTCTCAGGAGCCTCCAGTTACCGCAGCCAGTGGAGCTATTTCCTGGGAGGGCTGCATCCAGCGTCAGAGCCCCCAGGGCTGGCTGGTTTCCTCCAGTGGTGTCATCAGCCTGCAGGATCAAGGTCTCTGTTTTGGGATGCACGTGAGTCAGTTTAGGTGTGTGTCTAGTAGGAATACGAATAATGCCAGACTTCGGCCACTTCTGATGGTCACTGCAAGAGCTGGGAGCACTGGGCACCTTGATGGATGGGTGCTGGGGACCTGCTGAGAAGGTGGGGGAAGGTGGACGTTGCCTATAGTTGAAGCCAGGCATGGCTAGGGGTCTCCACCTCCTTAGAACCCCAGCCTCAGTAGCCGGGAAGCATCACTGGGAGGTGCCTGCCTGGGCTCTGCTCTCAGATTCCTCCTTTCTTGAACCTGGAGCCCAGTGGCCAGTGTCTGGCACCTCCCCTGCCCTGTCCCAACGCAGAGAAGCAGCTTAGATTGGTTCCAGATCCGAGAGCTGTCTCTGGGGCTCCAGGTACCCCTTAGGCCATCCTATTGTGGTTTCTTTCCCCCTGAAACCCCACCAGCCCAGCCCCGCCACCCCAGCTCCAGGACAGCGTAAGCTAATCATGGGGCTCAGAACAGGGGTTCCAGGCTGGACCTCCGTGGCTCCAGGTAGAATCAGGCATATGGACAGGAAGTACTGACTTTGGCCTTGTCCAAGGGGCAGCCCCAATCTCGGGAGCTTTGAACACCCAGACTCCTAAATAGCTTTGAGCTCCCGAAGTCCCGAATTCCCAATGTCAGGGGTGCCAGAGCGCCTAACACTGTAAAGGACCCAAACCCCAGAGCCCCCAGTACCCCATTCCCAGGGGGCCTGGGGTACCCAACATCCAGACCACCCCATGTTCATAACATCCCATTTTCAGAGTGCCAGTGTTCCAGTTCACTGGACCTAGAGGGAGGGAGTGGGGTCCCTGCATTACCAAGGTCCTTCAATGACCTATGATCTGAGGAGTGGCTGTGACTGAAGTTGGGGCTGGGGTAGTGCTGGCAGCTTCCTCGATGCTCCCATCCTCGGTCTGGAGAGGTTGAGCAGACTTGCAGGTGGGATGGCGTTTCCTCTGGCCTCAGCCCAGCCTGGTCACAGGCCCTGTGGCATTTAATGTCCATTTATTCAC